TGTGCGCTGTCGATCTTGCGTGCTGCACAATAACATGTAATATTAGTTAGTTGATATTAGTATCTACTGTTATCTACTGTTAGCTAGTATATTGTGATGGTGTTGTATTTATTATGTTGCTCTTTCTTGTTCTTGTTTGTTTTCTCTTCTGTTTTTTTCTCATCTCCATACAGGTGATCCAGGTGTTTTGTTTGTTTTTCTTTCTTTCTTCCCCCCTTTCTCACCGTCTCTTCTCCCCTTTGGTTTTCTTTCTCTCCCTCTCTTTCTTTCATTCTTTCTCCCTGTCCTATCCCCCAGTCATGTCTGTCCCGTTTGTAGCAACCAAAAATCAAATCAAATAAATACATAATTATAATAAAGGTCAACCAAACGACCAATATGGCAAGGCCATGATGATCCACTTGGTAAAGTAAATCCGCTTGGCATCTTTCTTGGCCTTCAGACAACAATTCTGATGGCTAAAGATCCAAACGGGACAGGTAAAAATAAATAAATAAACAAATAGTGTGGTTGGACCACGTAAAACCAGAGTTATGATAAAAATAAATATACTCAATCCTTTTTCCTCAATACTATCGTCACTTTTAGTGTGGGAAGAAACGATAAGAATGGCATTTTCTAAGAGCAGCGAGGGAAAACGCAAGAAAAGAAAAACACAAAACCCCTTTCCTATTCAGGAAAACATTGTACCATGTCGACTAATCAAAAAATTATATGGCAACACGTGGCATTTTGTTGTTTAGGTATAGGGGGAAATTTTGGCAGTGACCGCGGTGAGAGAGTGACATCGATAGTGAATTTTGAGATGTAAGACATTTCTGACATTTAACGACACACTCCAAACATGCTAGTGTGTAGTGTAGTCGTTTGTTTTGTTTGTCAAAACAATATGGGCACTACTGAATGTCACAGCTGCTGCCAAAAAGCCACCAATAGCAGATAGCAATGTAAATTCTGTCTCTGGGTGAAATACGGGAGGAGTGATACACCTGCTGTCAGGCTCATGATGTGCTCCTCTGTCTTGTGGTGGACAGAAACTATTTTTTGTAGTGGCACAAATGATTTGTGTGCCATCTTATTGTGACACCTGATTGTATAAATTTACAATTTATATTTGAATTCCTACATGTTTGTTGTTTTTACAGTAATAAATATTGTTTTTTCCTACTCTGATTTTAGTTTGTGTGTGTGTGTGTGTTTAGATCAATTGTGCTCATACAGCATGTCAAAACACAAATTAAGTTCAGACATGTAAAATAAAATGAAAGTAGGTTGTCTTTAAAGTTAAAATCAAAAATAGTAAAAAGACAGCCAGTTATACCCTGGAACCCAGAAGTTGTAAAATATTAAGTAAAGATGGATAGAGGTTCACAAATCTGCAAAAAATAAAAATTAAAAAAATTAAAAAAAAATCTAGAAATTGTGAAACAATTTCAGAACAATTTTCCTGTAGTGGTTTGTTGTTAATAAACCCTCAGACAGGATGGGATACTGTCGTGGTTTTCAGTAGGGAAAGAGACGACACCTTGTAGAGCAAACAACTTCAACCTTTATTTCTCACTTCCGGTACCCAACACACTTTCACCATAAAACCAGATATACTTAAACAGATAACACCTCATCCTCCTTTCGCAGAAAACAACAACTTATTGAAACATTTACTGCATATGGGAAACTGTACTTTCATTACTTCTTAGAACCTATTGCAGAAACATAGCTACTCTATATTTAACTCGAGATGCTTTGCTTTATTTAATCTCACAAGTTCAATCTTTGTGGTTTTATGACAACTCTGCCAGCTCTAGTTCTGACAAGACCTGGGACTTCTGTCTTGGGAGTCAGAGTTGTAGACGTCGATAGGTTGGGAGCTGGCAGGGTATTTTC